GGTGTGTTTTCCTTCCATATCTTTTTTATAATCTAGACAGTATATATATATATATATATACAGGCATGCAGGAAAGGGGTTACAAACTGTAATGTGGCAACTGCTACCCTTTAATGATGTGGTTGACTTGAATGCATTGAAGGACCTACCGTTTCATTCTACATGCTTCTCTCTTAATTTACTTTAGTCTATTTTGTTGCTACATACTTGCAGACACATTAACGTAGGGAAACTGTGGAAACAGTGCTGTTGTAGCTCATGCTCAATGCACACCATCGAGGTGGAAACTGGGCTTGGAAATGTTTTCTTAAACATGACTTTTCATTAAAGAACCCAATACTCCCTATGAATGGAACTCCCAGGCAAGTAAAGAGCTCCATGGCTGCTTGAATCATTCTCCTCTGTGAGCTGGGAACAAACACGGAGTAGTAAAGAGCCAGAGAAAGGATTAGGAACTGCTGGAATAAGAACAGGTGGCACCAGGCTGCCCTCAACCATCCCTGTTTATATAGTTGATTTATAGTTGAGTCAAAGTCACCTATTTAAGCCTTCTTTAGACAACAAGCCAGCTAATATTACAGAATTCACACAAGAACCAACTTTGTCTTCCTACAAGTAATACACAAGAAAAACAGCCACATTTTAAACTACATGTTTGCTTACTCATTCTCTTTCACTCTAAGAAACCATAATGAATTGTTTCCATATGAAGTCCTGTCCTCAATGAATGAGATGCAGGTTTCTTTTGCACATCTGAAAAGCCAGCTTTGCAAAATTGGGGGCTTGAATGCCGGGCTGCTTGGTGGCAGCCATGTTGATTTCTTATTTCTCCAGGGAGCCTCCACTTGAAAGTGCCCACTGTCAGTGAAAAGCACTGATGGACACTGCCTGTTATTGCCATGCTCAGTGGAATGAGCTGAGGGTTCGTGAAAGGAATACTGAACTTGATCTGGGGCTGTCAGGTAACCTGACCTCTTCAGCTGTGGGTTCTACATCCTGCCTTTCTCTGTTAGGGGGTATGTGGTCACAACAACATCATGGCAGGCATCAGTGATGGAATATATAGGGGGAAGTTCCCCATGTGTGGTGTGTTCTGACTTAGACATAGGATGGGTACAGAAAAATGGCCCATTCGCTATTCACTTTTTTAGTTGATTTTAGGAATGCATGACTTAGGGGAAATGAAAAGCTCGATGTATTTTTTTCATCAGTTGAATTTGTCAGTTTTTCCCTCCAGCTGGTTTTGTTTTCTGCTGACATAGACCTGAGAAACCATACAAGTTTTCAAACAGCACTTGGGGCATTGAATTAATGAAATGAAAACATTCTATGTAATGCTGAGCAAAATCAGAAAATCAAAATGTTGGAGTGACTGACTTGAGCCCGTGTAAAGAAGCTGTTGAGTACGTTCTTTAGTGTACTCTAAAAACTAGGAAGAGTCCCAGATGGGGTCCTGATGGAAGGAGAGACCTGATGGACATTTCATGGGCTTTAACTAAATCCTGGTCCTGGCCTGACTTGACAAAGGATTCAGAAACCTTCTGTGACATGCTGAGTGTGCAAAGGCCTCTCCAAGCATCTCTAAGCTGCCTCAATTCAAACAGTATAGGTCAGAGTTGATTTAGTGCTATTGGGAATAATGGTTTCTTCAGACACCGAAGCCCTTTATGACCACAATGGAAAATGCTTTAAAAAATTACACCCTTACATTCCCATAGGTGGCAAGTCCCACGGAGTGCCTCTACTGGATGGTGTTTCATCTAGGCTCTCTTGGCAGGCATTTTGTCTGTATGTGAGCCCTTAGCATCAAAATGTGTCTAGATGACAATCACGGCTCAACTTGCCCCCCTTCTTTTGATGATAATGGGACATGCGTTAGAACAATATAGGTTCGGTTTATATAGTCTTGCTGTCCTAGAAAAGCACTAATTTGGTTTGCAGTCATATTTTCTACTTGCATGCTGGGGCAATATAAGAAAAAAAAAAATGAAACAAAGGAATTCAACCCTGGTCACTCCCCGCCCCCACCCCCCAAACCAGTATCTACCCAGTCTGGGTTTTACCTCTGTCTTTCTGTAACCCTGTAGGCTTCAGTCAGTGTATCCCAGTGAGGTGGGCAGATCTTCCCTGTTTGGCTTGTGGGAATGCTTTGGAGGACTCAGCTCGGGGCCCTTACAGACCCTCTCCACCAAGCCCTCTTCCCTGTAAACTCTATTCCTAAATTGTCTATTTTACTAGGTAGGATGCCAGTCATTCCAAGGTAGGCTAAAGGTCATAGCATTGGTTTGTCTATGGATTCCCTTATGTAACCTCTCATACTCAAGAGGTAAAGCCCAGACTGAAGGTTGATGCCCCTCTTCACATAGGTGCTATAAATATACTAGAGCTATCCCTGAAAAGATGCATTTGTACTTTTATATATATATAGGACTTTATATATATATAATTCTTTTCTTTGTGTTTGTATACAGGTATGTATTAATCTATAGATATGGGAGGAAGGGTATAGTACAGGAACAGGCAGGATTTGTGTGTTCATGTGCATATATTTATAATATGTATATTTTATATGTATATATATATATAGCCTCTGTCCTTGTTTGCATCATTACAACATATGTACCTCCGACCAGCGAGGAGTACCTGTCAGTGGTGAATGAAGAGAAACCTCATATTGATGGTTCTCTTTGTCTCTTATGTGAAGTCATTTCAGCAGGCAAGGGTGGAAGCAGCCTGGGAAGTGAATGGGCCCAGTGTGAATCCATTCCTCTTCAAATCTGCCAAAGAGAGACTCTTGGTACCCAGGGCTATGTTCCAGCTGCCTCTTCTCAAGAGGTCAAAGAGCCTAGAGCCCAGAGTGGGGAGGGACCATCCATGCTGTTGGTTCAAGATATGGCTTTTCCTGCTAGATGGAGACAGGACACACAATAATTCTGTCTTCTAGGAGGACACTGATCACCAAAAACACAAAGTAGAGGCCAAACATGATGAAGCCCAGCACTTTGTTCATTCGCCACTTGCAGAAGGCGATGGAGAGGATGACGAAGAGCAGCATGATGAACAGGAGCACAATTGCACAGAAGAGGCCATTGCTGCTGACAGCCACTGGCTCAAATTTGTGGATGATGGTATACAGGAGCCATGGCAGGGGGAGCCTGTGGGGAGAGCAAAAGGCAGAGGGATATGAGGAGGTCAGGGGAGCTGTCAGATATACTGAAGAAGATGTACAATGGAGCCTCAGCTTATTAGGATCTGCAGGCTGAAAGGGGCCTTGCTAGGCTTCTCTAACTGGGGCATGGTGGGTCCAGGACATCACACAAGAAAGTCAGGTGAACTTTGAAAACCTCTATTTCCTGACTGAGTTTGGGAGCACAGAGAGAATTTAGAATAGTTCTGTAGTTGAACAGCGTCAAAGACATGACTATGATAGGTGATTTCTGCATTTAATTAAAAATCATTTTTTGTTTCCTTCCTATCTGAGATTAAAAGATTGTTCTTAGTCCTAAAAGGGAGAACTGGAGGACTTGTGCTGGGAGGAGAAGATAAATGGATAAGGGACAGAAATGAGTGGTGAAAGTGAAAAAAAAAATTAAATGAAGATTGGATTTCATGGCTTAATTAACCACCTAAAAGCAAGTGAAATTAAATGATGATGATGAGAGCCATGATACAATATAGCAGTCTGATGAAAAAATAGTTTTGATAAAAATTAGTCTCTCATATAGGCTGTTCTCCTTTGCTGTAGCAAGTAATAAACAAAACTTTATTTGGCAAAAAAAAAAAAAAAAAAAAGGTCTCTCTGAAATATTTGAGGAAGACCACATCTTACATTTGTGAGAT